GCATAATAGTGCGCAATATTATTAGTACTTTTAAAATTTACATTAGTTTTTTGAGAAATCGGAAGTAGCGTAAATTACTACTTCCGGTCAACGGAAATTACTCACAATTAAACAGAAGGTAGAGAATTAGATCTTTTACTTACATGTGAAATTTCATTTATCTATCTGAAATAGTACTCAAGTTATAGGCTTTTGAAACATTCAAAGTAGAAAAAGTACCACTTCCGGTTATCGGAAATCGCTCAAAAGTTGATACGGATCTACGATTTTGATATAATACTTATATATGAAATTTCATCAACCTAGCTGTAACGGTACTCAAGTTATCGTGTTTACACACGGACACACACACAGACACACAGACACACACACACACAGACATACGGACAAGATTGCAAAATTATGTTTTTCCGTATCAGTGAGGTGTAAAACGTCGAGATTTGTAAAAATCTCGATTTTTTTTTTTGCACGATTACAATACTTTCTCTATACTACATTTATACGAGAAAGTAAAAAGCAATGTTAGAAAACATAATTTTTGTCGTTATTTTGCGTTTTAGAAAACTGTTTTAATAAAATACAAAAATTTGGAAAAATATTGATGTTTTAAGAAAAATTCAACTGCAATTTTGAGGGGGTTTGTAGTCTGAGGTGTGACGCCTTTTTAGGGATGGGGGTCTGGCTTTTGTGGCGATGTGTGACGGAGGGGAGGGGGGAGGTAAAAATCGTCAAAAAAACGTGACGTCATTTATGGATGACCCCGAAGGTGTATTGTCATCGTGTTGAAATTTACACGACAATTAGGCCTATATATATTTTTAAAGACAAAAATAGAGATGGGGTCCTTTCGAAGAATATTAGAAAGGTGTTCATTCAAAACAACAAAGTTCTCAACACCAGTGACAGATCACAATATGATGGGAAAATGTTACAATAGGATGTAAAAAGGTCACAACGGGATGGGAAAGGTCACAAAGCAAGGCAGGTTGCCCATGAAAGCTGGTACAAGCGTGATATTTCCATGTGGTATGACTCCAGAAAATACCACACAATCGTACACAAGGGAAATCGCCCACTTAGAAACAAATAACAATCTTAGAGAGTCTTTCGCACTTTTGCCGTAGACTTGTATGTACTACCCTTTGAGCTATGAATTGATGCCTAATAATAATGCCCAATAATAAGTATTATATGCTTGTTAGATTAAAATACGTATAGGTCTGTGTGTAGTATTGTGTAAGTACCAAATGTAAGTAGTAGCAAGTAATTAATAGCCTGAAGTTTGATAGTATGTTATTATTGTTATATATAAAATTAGTATTTTCTTCAACAATCTTTGAATATTTTATTACAACAATATAAAAAGAAATAAGCTAGTAAACAGAACAAGAGGTAACTGAATCCACAAAGTTTCAGTTAATTTATTCTTTTATATTTATTTAAGAAAGATAAATGTAAAAAAAAATAAAAACAATGTTTCAATTAGTTTTAAAAAAATAAAGCCTCAACTACATTTCGTTTATATTCCCCTAAAACTCATTCAGCCCTTGTCTTTAATATTTCCATTTCTTGTTTAATATAATCATCATTATGTTTATTTAAGTTGATTTTTACAGCTATTTTGCTTTTTCATGTCTTTCGCTGGCTGCTATATTCTGTCTATCACTAACCACAAGCATAGCATCTTGAATATCATGGGCAGCTATATATTTTTCTTTTAATAATCTTTGACTTTTTCAAGATCATTTTTCCTGCATCATGTTTTGCGAATTATGTACCCCTGCCGTCGCCCTAGATTCAGCGTGATTGTCTTTAACTTCTACCTCTTCAACCTCTGAGTCGTTTGAAGCCATCTTTTCCTTCTTGTGGTCGTAACTATAGTCCTACAATCTATTATACGAACAGTGTTTGGATATCATCAGCAAGAATATAACAAAATAACTTATCACATAGACAGCGAGGCTTGAAAAATGACTTTAATTCTAATTCAGTAAAATGGTGAGAAGAGTGTTGGATACGGCTGAATGAAACACGCCTTAAGTACAAAATAATTAAAAATCAACCACATATTCATTTTTTACAAATGTTTTTGTACTTATTTCCCTTTGTATATTCCTTTCTAGAGTTTAAAACATAGGGTTACATTTGCGTCACTAAAACGTCTTTGAATTACTTATGAAAATCTTATTAAAAAATTATGTGCGCAACACGTTAGTGTTGTATTACAAATTGTGTGGCTCCGGTTGACTTCACGGCCGCCAGAGATTGCTTATATAAATAATAGTGTATTATATTACTATATATAAAGAAACTCATTTATTTTCTACTTTTTATTGCATTAGTACATTAAAGCTTGTTATTAAAACGTTTTTTATATGAATTTTTTCCGTACTTTAATTTTTTTATAATGCAATAGAGTTGCATGACTAAAAACCATTGCGCACCTGATGAACGTGGTGACGCTGTCTAATTGTGCGAAATAGTTTGATGAGACAGCCTACTAATTGGACAAAATTTTAATTAATTCATAAAACATTAATTAGGCAACCAGTTAAGTCAAATTTAATGTCATGTTGCATTGTCTTCGTGTCTTGACCCACGTACCAACTACGACCCGTATCTGTCAGTTAGAAAGGAATGCAATTGTGCTCGGGCGTTTCAATCTAGACAGACTGACCACTGACGAAAGACTGACAAATGACGACAAAGGAAGTGAGTTAAATAAAAGCTTGTAAAAATGCATAAACTCTTTTATGTGCTTTTTAAAGTGATAAAACATCAAATCTACAACATCCGATTTTTATTTTAATAATCATAAGAATTACATCAATTAGAAAGGTGTACTATTTTGTTTAAGCGGTTTTTTTGTTTAACAAAACTTGCATGTATACGTGCAACATTCCTAAGAATGCCGATAAAGTGTGACTTTTTCTTAGTAATATCTTCTCTTCCTTCGTCACGTTCGCCATTAATCTTCATTGATTACTTTAGTTATTTGTTGATTAGTTTAATCTAGTTTTCACTAGCCGCTACATTGTCTCCCCTTGTGCTATTATATTTAAGTCAATTTTATTTTCAAAGACATATTTAACACCTAATTTGATTAGAGAGGGCTGTCTTGAGTAGCTTTAATTAAATGCAATATTTCATCTAAGCACGAAGACGATACATGATTTTAAAATTAAAGCTTATAAATAAGAGCTAGGACTCGCGGAGGCTTAAAACGTCGAGATTTGCAAAAATCTCGATTTTTTTTTTGCCCGATTATAATACTTTCTGCTTAGTATACGGGAAAGTAACAAGGACGGTCTGAAAAGACATAGAGATGTACCGTCAAAATGTGATGTGAAAGAAGCCTTTTATCTTTCGTGAACTGCTGGCAGAATGTTGCCCGAAACAGAAGCCAGAAAGTGAAAGTTCCTTTTTTCATTCTGTTTGCTCATTACCAATAATACATTGCAGTTTTTAAGATCTATTGTGTGTTCCGTAATGCCGTTCAAATGTGAGTTACGATAAAATATAAATGAAAGAGTTGGCACGGCTTCCCCAGTGCAATTCAGCTATAGAATATAAAGATTTTTTTTTTTTTTTGAGAAAATACAAAAACCTACAAAAAAAAATAGGATATGCATGATGTAATTACTAAATGATAATTTATAAAATATCTTTGAGATATTAAAAAATAGAATTAAGTATTGTTTACGTTTATCGGAAATAACTCGAACTGAGAATGCATTCAATTTCGTATGTTCAAATGTAATGAAATAATACTTCCGGAAATGACGCAAACGTTTTCAGGAACTGGCGTTTAAGATCTTGTACTTAAATTTCAAATTTTGTCGTCCACCTAATTGAAACGCTACTTAAGCTATCGGAATTTTGAAAACCGGATATTGAGTAAAATACCACACCTAGATATTGTAGGGCACTTAAAAATCAAGTTACCTAATAATAAGTTCTTATACTTATTACATTTCGTCTACCTAAATAAATGAATAAAGGACGTCTTCCGTTTATCTTAAATCGTTCACAAGATGCTAGAAACCTACGAATAAAATCTAATATAAGGATGTAAAATTTCGTCCACCAAATTTAAATGATACTTTCTGAAAATGCTTTTGAATTACCTGAAAATTAAGTAAGTACTACTTGTTTTTTAACTTAACAGAAATAATCAAAAAGCTGATATAAATTCAGACGAAATTTCGTCAGATAACTTAAACGTTACATAAGTTATCGTGTTTACGCACTTACGCCCTCATACTCAGACACAGAAACAATTTCGAAACTTAATTTTTTCCACTCAGTGAGTGTAAATTTCATTTTTTAACACGATTACAGTATTTCATCTGTGTTTTTGTTTCCAAGAATGTTAAGATGGCCGCTTTTTCCATAATAAGCTAGAGGGTTTATACTAGTATAGAAATTTTAAAAATTTAGGTTAAAACTGTTTCGATAATATATGACTTAAATATTCGAGATATATGTTTTGGTGAGTAGGCCCAATGTGTTTGTTTTCTGTAAAAATAATTTTCATTTTTTCTTCACGTAGTTCTATATTACGTTTTGCTTTCCTTGACTTATGAAATTAAATTTCTAAAATTACTTGTATTTATATTTGCTGGATTATTTTAGTAATTTGTTTTTAATATTACATTAATTTTACAAACTAAATTAGTAGTAATATTTGGTGATAATCAATTATCTTTACTTTTGAAAAGTTTTCATATAACTAAATGTATTACAAAGATATTTTCATAATAGCTATTTTATTAAATATTTTATAATATATTCCAGATATTTTTAAAATTATAGATACTCTGGCAATCTTACTTTAATTACGTTAGGGGCCAAGATGCTAAACTTAATAAAAAATATTACTTAATTTAAGTTGACATTAATATTTTAACTCCTGACCACAATCTATTTGTTTAAGACGAATTTGTGTTGGTAGGAAAAGGGTGGAACAAAAAATTGAAACCGAAAATATGAGATTTAGTCTACACCTCTCTTATTTTCATCTCACCAAAGCTTACGCTAGTAGTGTTAGAGAGCGACCTCGCCAGAATGCCATAGGAACCAGTGCCACTCCATGCACCGTTAAGGTTAAGCATAAACCCATCCTTGCAAGAAAAACACATCCAGCCGGCAGTTTTCCAAATCTTGGCTGCATTCCCAGTAGGAAACGGATCGTGATCATTATCGTATGTGGTGAAATTGGCATTGCTGTGTGCAAAATATATGACTGGACTTGCTGATGAAATTCTCAGTTTATAACAGTTGAGCTCACTTTCCACTTTAAAGTCGGCGAAGTTGAAGGTGTAGTTTTGCCCGTTATATTTGACGTCCACTCTCATGTCGTATCTTGTGACGTTGGTCAGGCAGTGGATGTTTTCATTTCCGAGGTAAAACTCGCCCAGTTCGTAGTCCCCAAACCCGTTCTTGAACTCTGCCCATGTGCGATAAAAATCTAGAGCTCCGGTTATCCGTCTTTGTAATATAATCCAGCCTCCCCCATCACTCTCCGTGTCACACATGACGACCAGACCGTTGAGCAGTCGGATCAACATCCTCGGGCTGGTCTTGTCTGTGATGTCTTTACACGATTTATAACGAGGTAGACTCGTACTGTCTGTGTTGTTTCCAACGTTAATGCTGTGACCTGCAATATATTATACAAACATGAATACTGTCAGGAAGAACTGAAGACCACTTTAGGTAGTGCCTTTTGTGCAGAGGAAAAGAGCGACATCAATGCGGCAATTTTGCTAACAAAAAAAAAATAAAAAATAAAATTAATATAAGCAAAGCGCGTTTATTAAAAATTATGGACCTATTAGCATCGTCTCCCACCCCGGTCATTATTCCTCAACATTACTCTCCTAGTGAAAAAAATAATAAATTTAATAACAAAATTGAATCAGGCGCGTCTGCCGGCGCCCCGACAGGGTTCGGTTTAGCGCCTTGGCTTATCCTCTGAGCATTATAGCACCTACGTTCGTTTTAAAGAGCACCTTGCAATGATGACACGGTGGCACCCGCCATTCAATAATTAAGGGGATATACTCCGATTTTTTCTGTTATTTACAATTTAATATCTAAAGCATTTTGAATACTTTTACCATATTGGTACATGAAAATCAGTATTAACTAGCAAAAAAAAAAAAGGTTGAAAACAATTTTGGTTGTCATAGAAACTAAAAAAAACTCCGCCATTTTGAATTTTTCGGTACTTTTTTTATAAACTAAGGCTTTTTTTTCGCTCTTTTTCTCAGTTTGCAGTTTCTTAACACTAAAAACCTACTACTTTTTTTATTTATCAAACATACTCCCCCCCTCCCTCTCCTCCATATTTTCAGTAATTGTTCTTTATGCAAAACTACAACTTTTGTCACGAGGAAATTGTGATGGCTTTCGTACAGAGTTTCTTCCAGGCATCTCTTCGGGGAGGGGGGTGGGAGGGACAAAGACCCCCCCCCCACCCTCCCGAACGAAATGAAATTTATATAATTTATATAGAAAATATATACTTTTAACAGTGTCCGCCCCCCGAAGAAGGTCTATCCCCCCCCCCCCCCCGAAAATTTCAAGTGCCACCCCCCCCCCCCCCCCCCCGAGAAAAAAGTCTGGAAGAAACACTGCTTTTGTAGAAAAAAGTATATGGTAAATAATATGCATTTTCTGAAAATTTGAATACGATATTTTAGACCTTGTAAAATTCTTACTAGTAGCTATTTCTAGAAGTTGTCGTGACAACAGTTTTAACATATACTGAAATATAAGGAGTTTAAATTTGATTGCTATAAGTGCATCAATAAAAAAGCCTTAGCATGTTTAAATGTACTGAAAAGTTCAAAATGGCGGAGGTTATTTTTTTGGGTTTCCATGACAACCAAAATTGCTTCTGCGCCTTTTTTGCTGTTTAATAATTACTTTTATGTGCCAAACATGGTAAAAGTATTCAAAAGGCTTTAGATTTTAAATTGTAAAAAAAAAATAGAATCAGCGGAGCTTATCCCGCTGCGGTAGTGTAAACAGGGGTCCCTGTGTTCTATATGTTATATATATATATATATATATATATATATATATATATATATATATATATATATATATATATATATATATATATATATATATATATATATATATATATATATATATAATATAAGCTCAATTCTGTATGTAAAAATAAATGTTTGTCGTTGACATACTTCGATGGATTAAAGTGTTAGATAATTACAGTCCTTATGGTCTAAATTTATGAGTTAAAAAATTAATATTGAAAGTTTTGGGAAATAATTTTCATTTATCAAACTAAAAGTAATAATTTTCGGCATGTTCATTAAACACAAATTTTTAAAAAAATATAATCTTTTACAAAAGTTCTTTATTTAGTCCTATAGCACTTACTTCCCTTTGATAAATTAGGAAAACACAATTATTTCCCTTTATAAAACCATTGCATTAGAGGAAAAGAATTTACTTTTTATTACTTTGTTTTGGTGTTTGGGAAAAAAAATAATTACATAATTAGCGGGGATTGATCAAGTGCAAATGGTGTAGGTATTTTACCGATAAGCTTGGAGTATTATAATTGTTCATTAAATTGAAACAGGCGAGTTCGTTTAAGTGAGTGCAAAAGACTATGAATAAGTTGGGGTACTATAGTCGTTTATTAAGCTAAAACAGGTGATTCCGCCCCGGGCGTTTATGTTCGCGTTAGTGTTTTCTTTGTGTTTAGGTGGGTTTGCGTTAGTGGTTGCGTTTTGATTTGGTTCGTTTTTGTTCTTTCTTTTTTCGTTTTTGTTTGTGTTTTTTTCTTTGGGTTTGTATTTGTGTTTTTGGTTGGTTTTGCGTTTGGATTTGGTTTGTTTTCATTTGCTTTTTCGTTTTTTTTTTGTGTGTTGGTATTGGTGTTTGTGGTTGTGGTTGGGTTTGTTGTTAGGTTTTTGTTTTCGTTTGCTTTTTTGTTTGTTTTTTCTTTGTGTTTGTATTGGTGTTTGTGGTTGTGGTTAGGTTTGTTGTTAGGTTTTTGTTTTCGTTTGTATTTGTAATTGTGTTAGCGTTATGTTTGCGTTTTGTTGTTTTGGTTTTGGTTGGTTGAGGTTTGGGTGGGCAATGTCGGGTTTATGATGATTACTAAACACACAGGTAATGGTTTTTAACAGAAAGGTTTTTCACAGAAGCCAGAGCAGGGCCCGGCCGGGACGGCTAGTAAATATATATATATATATATATTGTGACCTACTTAGGTCGAGTCATTTTTATTTTGACATTGTATAATTCCATATATGGAATGATGGTGTAACACCTGGGGTTTTTCCACTGACTTATTAAGGTGTTTGAGACATAGAAATTTTCCATTAAAATCTGATTGAATGATTCTGATCAGATGATTATCCCAACCAATGGCGACATGAGTTGAGGATAACCTCCCCTGTCACAGAAGTCTTTAATTGCACTGCACACTCGCAACACGAGGCAGTTTTTTCTTGACCTGGCAGTCTACGAGGCAGTTTTACCTTGATCAGGCAGCCGTCCATATTGTCCGGCTATAGACTCTGACCATTTGAACGTGAGAGTACTTAAGACCTGTGTGTGCCTTGCTTTCTTCAGTTGATTTAGTCTTCTAGTTTAATATTACTTGTCGCTAAGTAAGTCTTGAAGCTACAGCAGTGTTGTGTGGCCTGTAGCTGTTCTTTAGACAGTGTAGAAATCTGTGATAGTGTTTTTTCCTGCATTTTGTAAGTTGGGTTTTTGATATTTTATACATTAAATATTTTATCTAGTTCATCTTTGTGTTCTGCCACAACTGTGTTCGCTGATTAAAAGGTCGTATGTAGATTGGATGAGTGTTAATTACAATAGTATCACTAGCTTCCCTAGACATTAAATTCGAGCCCTAGTGGGTCGTTGTGTTAAGTGTTCATCCACTTAGGCCGTAAGGCATTTGCACATGACCCCGAAAAAAGAATCCGGGGACGTTCTCCTTCTATTTGGCTGATAGATAGGTTAACGTTACAAAGTGGGAGCTCGCCGAGATTTAATCTGTCGTTCCAGTTGTTGGTTATATCAGTTGAATACTAAGGTTAGTTGGATTTAGTTGTTTTTATATCCAGTAGCGCAGTGTTCTTACAACGCGCGCTCAGGCTAGAGTATCTAGGTCAAATAAGCAGACGTGTCACGTCCTACATTTAGAGGTCAAGTACACGGCCCAACGCTGTGTATTAATTTAAAGAATCTAGGCTTGTTGTGATTTTCAAGTTAGTGTTATGGAGTCTTTTTTGGCTAATCCTACTGTTGAAGATGTAGAAAAGTTGAGTAGAAAAGTTTTGGTTAGTGTTGTTAAGGAATTGAAATTGGATTATTCTGTTACGCAGAAATCAGAGGTGTTGAGAGATAAAATTGTTGTTCATTTCATTAATGAAGGAGTATTTGATGAAGGTTTGTTGGCGGATGTGTTACTCCGCGAGGAGAAAACTCTAGAGAAGGTAGAATTAGAAGCTAGAATTGCTTTAGAGAAGGAGAAAGTTGCTTTAGAGAAGGCTTTAAAAGAAAAGGAGTTTGAAACTAAAATTGCTCTAGAGAAGGAGAAAGTTGCTTTAGAGAAACAGGAGATAGAGGCTAAAATTGCTTTAGATAAGAGGAGGTTGGAATTAGAGTTTGGTCAAGTTAGTGATGTCACTTCTCAGGTAGATCCAAAAAAGTTGTCGGTAGGGCAAGTGATTGCCAAATTTGGGAAATTAGTTCCTAAATTTGATGAAACAGATTTGGTCGTTTTCTTTAACTCGTTTGAGAGTTTAGCGAAGACATGTGAATGGCCCGAAACTTCCATTACTGCCTTATTGAGCTCTGTCCTTACTGGGAAAGCTGCAAAAACATACCAGGCACTCTCTCACGACGTTCAAAATAACTATAGTTTGGTCAAGACTGCCATTTTAAAGGCCTACGCACTGACGCCCGAGGCCTATCGGACAAAATTCCGAACACTCCGCAAGTTACCCACACAATCATATGTGGAATTTCTCTTTGAAAAGGAGAAAATATTCTCAAGGTGGCTACACTCTGAGGAAGTTTCTGAGTTTGAGAAACTCAGGTCACTTATCCTAAGGGAAGAATTCCTAACGTCCCTGCCTGAAGAGATACGACTACACATTCTGGATAACAAGATAACTGACATCCAGAAGGCTGCTGAGTCGGCTGACACATATATGTTGGTGCATAAGAAACCACCAGTGTCAGGAAACCGCCTCAACCCCGTGCTTCCCCTTTTTGGCAGCAATCATCCTGTTGGCCAACATTTGAAGGCATTACAGTCCAGAGAGAAACCAAGATCAACTCTCAATCGTCGAGCAGTATGCCAGTTCTGCAAAAGGTCTGGGCATCTTGTCAAGGACTGTTACAAACGTCTTCAGAATAACAGAGAGGTGGTGCGTACTTCCGCGCACTATGCTCTATCCCCTCAAGCAGCCAGTTCAACTATGAACTCTAGAATTCAAAAGGACTCTAACCCTAAGTGTCCGCAAGAAGGTAGTCAAGTCTCCACACATTATGTGCAGTCACATTTTGACTGTTCTCGCCACCATCCAGTTTCTTCCGAGTCTACCGATCTCGAGAGATCGAGAAAAGTTGACTTTTCATCTTTTATTGCCGAAGCCATCATTAGCAAACCAGGTGATCCGTTGTCTCAGAAGAATATCACCGTTCTAAGAGACACAGGAGCGTCACAATCACTCCTTTTGAAAAGTTCAATGGACATTTCACCAGAGACGAACACCGGAAGGATTTCCATTATCCAGGGAGTAGGGACGAAATCTACTGTCGTCCCTCTACACAAGTTTGCCCTGAAACATCATCTCGTCGAAGGTGAGGTCATTTTAGGTGTGATAGATAGTATTCCTGTCCCAGGAGTACACCTACTTCTAGGGAATGACCTTGCGGGAAGCAAAGTATACCCCTGTACGGTTTCAGACCCTTTGTCAACAGTTCCAGATAATGATAATGAACTGTATCCTGCATGTGCGGTGACAAGAAGCCAGACCAAGCAATTGGCTGACACAACGTCTGAACCACACCCGCCATCATCGTCAAGAAATTCGACTCCCAAACTGGAGTCTATGCTTCCAGAAAACACAAGCTTGGGCTTACCCCTGAGGATATCTCAGGAAGACATCATTAAAGCTCAACAAGTCGACGCGGAACTCAAAGCAACGGTCGAAAAATCTCTATCATCTGACGATGGAGAATATTTCTCCGAGAACGGCCTCTTCTTTCGTCGCGCTATACCAGTGATTGCCTCACCGGCCGAACCATGGTTGGGTAAAAACCAGCTGTGGATCCCTCCACCTTATCGGCATGAAATACTTAAGCTGGCACATGACCATCCAATGTCAGCGCACCCAGGTGTCACTAAAACGACGGCGAAGATCAAAGAACTGTTCTTTTGGCCCAAAATGAGAAAAGATGTGTCGCGTTACTGTAGAAGTTGCACGAACTGTCAGTTGGCCGGAAAGCCAAACCAGACAATTCCTAAGGCCCCTTTGAGTCCGATTCCTGTGTTAGAAGAACCTTTTTCTAAAATCGTCATGGACTGTGTAGGTCCCTTGCCTAAAACCAAGGCGGGCAACGAGTACCTACTTACCTTTATGTGTTCAAGTACCCGTTTTCCCGAGGCGATTCCCTTACGGAACATTAAGGCAAAGACTGTAGTCAGAGCCATGACCCGGTTCTTCACTACCTTTGGATTACCTAGAATCGTGCAAACAGATCAAGGCAGCAACTTCACCAGTCACCATTTTCAGGAAGCGCTAGCCAAGCTAGGCGTTACCCACATCACCAGCTCAGCCTATCACCCTCAGTCTCAAGGCGTACTTGAGAGGTTCCACCAAACCCTCAAAACCATGCTAAGGACATTCGCTAATAGTAACACCCAATGGGATGAGTCTGTTCCTTGGATTATTTTCGCCGCGAGGGACTGTGTCCAGGACTCTTTAGGCTACTCGCCTTTTCAACTTGTGTTTGGACATTCTGTCCGTGGCCCCCTGAAGCTGATACACGAACGTTGGACAGGTACCAGTGATCATCCAGTGGAAAACTTCGACGATTTTCACGTTCGACTGAAAGCCGTGTGCGAAATGGCTCACGAGAACTTAAGAAAGGCCCAAGTTAGAATGAAAGAACTGTATGATAAGAGTTCTTGTAAACGAACATTCAATCCAGGCGACAAAGTTCTTGTGTTAGTGCCTAATCTGAACAATGCGTTATCCTTGAGATATTGTGGACCCTTTACTGTGCATTCAAAATTAAGTGATTTGAACTATGTTGTCAATACGCCCGACAGAAGAAAGAAACAGACAGTGTATCATGTCAACTCACTGAAAAAGTATTATGATAATTGTAACAATTTTCAATCCACAGCTAAAATTACTTTACCTGTATGTTCAAATGTTTCTGATGATGTGATACATGATAAATTGAAACCCCCAAAATTGGTAAATTCTTCCTTTTTAGATAATTTGAATGTCCACCTTATGCATTTGTCCACAGAGGAAAGCCATAGATTGTCTCAGTTATTTGAGACATTTCCCTCTATTTTTGGGGATGTCCCCAAAGAAGCGAAAGTACCACCTCATGATGTAGACGTTGGTGACGCAAAACCCATTAAACAACACCCCTATAGAGTTAACCCGGAAAAAGCTGCTTTGATAAAAGATGAAATTGATTATATGCTCAAGAATGATATCATTGAGCCCAGTTTCAGCAACTGGAGTTCCCCATGTCTCCTAGCAGGGGCGTAGCGAGGGGGGGGGGTGCGGACCGCACCGGGTGACACCATTTAGGGGGGTGACACCAAGGCAAAAAATAGCAAAATATATAGAGAAAAACTCGAGGGGGGGGTGCAAATCGAAAGTTTGAGGGGGGGTGCAAATCGAAAACTCGAGGGGGGGGTGCAAATCGAAAGTTTGAGGGGGGGGGTGCAAATCGAAAACTTGAAACTTTGTCCCTGGGAAGGGTCTCTATGCCTCTGGGGGGGTGACACCATTAAGTGCCGCACCGGGTGACACCCGACCTCGCTACGCCACTGTCTCCTAGTCCCGAAAGACGGTGGATCTTTCAGGTTTGTGACCGACTTTAGGAAGGTGAATGCGCTCTCCAAAGCTGATTCCTATCCCTTACCTCGGATAGAGGACGTTATTGATAAAGTTGGTCAAGCTAAGATAATTTCCAAAATTGATTTACTTTCAGGATACTGGCAAATCCCCTTATCTGACCGTGCAAAAGAAATATCTGCTTTTGTAACCCCTAATGGTTTTTATAGATACAAACGTATGCCCTTTGGTATGCGAAATGCTGGTCAAACTTTCCAGAGGGTCATTAACTCTGTCATTGCTGACATAGACCAATGTGAGGCCTACATAGATGATATAGTTGTATTTTCTAATACTTTTGAAGAACATATTGTTCAATTGACTAACCTTTTTAGAAAATTATCTGAAGTTAATTTTACTGTAAACTTACATAAAAGTGATTTCTGTAAAGCTTCAATTACCTATTTGGGTTATCAAGTGGGAACGAACCAAGTTCGGCCCATTGAAGCTAAAGTAGATGCTATTGTAAGGTTACCACCTCCCAAAAATTGTAAAGAGATCAAAAAGTTCCTTGGGATGGCTGGTTACTATAGGCGGTTCTGTCAAAACTTTTCAGCTATTGCTGAACCTCTTACTGCATTATTGAAAAAGGGTGTTGAATTTGAATGGTCCAATAAATGTCAAGAAGCTTTTTTAACCATTAAGTCATTTTTATCAAATGCTCCTGTTATGGCTGCACCAAATTTTAGCAAGCCCTTTAAACTTGCCATTGATGCTAGCAACTTAGCCATTGGCTCAGTCCTATTTCAAGAAGACAACATGGGAATTGACCATCCCATTGCCTTTTTTTCCAGGAAGTTAAATGAGAACCAAAAGAATTATTCTACTATTGAAAAAGAAGCTTTAGCTTTGGTTTTATCATTACAACATTTTGAAGTCTATGTCTCTTCTTCAACCAATCCAGTCAGAGTGTTTTCTGACCATGATCCCCTGAAATTTACCTCTAAGTTAGGACAGACAAATCAAAAAATATTGAGATGGTGCTTATATTTCCAAAATTTTAATCTGGAAATTTCACACATTAAGGGTAGTGATAATGTTGTGGCTGATTGTTTGTCAAGGATGTAAAATCTTGTTACACACATTGATCATGTGACACGCTTTGTGGTTCATTAGGACCATAAACAGGTTTTGTTTGAGTGTCACTCATATGAAAATGAGTGGTGTGAGTTAGAATTTTTCAAAATTCAAATCCTGTTGAATATTTTGTTTATTTTCAGGTGAACCTTAATTAAAGGTGGTTTTTGATTATATGTAATCTTTTATAATAATATGTCTCATATGGCTCCATTGATATTGTAGCTAGTCATTGAAATAAAGGTCTTACCCTGGCGGGTTTACCACTTTTAATATCCACATGGAAATATTGTAATACCCTTTTTTGAGGGATTTTGATGTATAATTACTTTTTGAAGGGTTACTCCCCTTTCACCAATTGTAAAAGTTGGAGTTACTTCCCTTTTATGTTCAGGGATATTTTCATCTGGTATTATGATTTTGATTGCCTACATTTGTAAAACATTTTTGTTATTTCATTGCCAGATTGGTTCCCTATGTATGTTTTTGTGGAACCTATCTGTCACTTCCAAAAAGGGAGGGGATGTGACCTACTTAGGTCGAGTCATTTTTATTTTGACATTGTATAATTCCTTATATGGAATGATGGTGTAACACCTGGGGTTTTTCCACTGACTTATTAAGGTGTTTGAGACATAGAAATTTTCCATTAAAATCTGATTGAATGATTCTGATCAGATGATTATCCCAACCAATGGCGACATGAGTTGAGGATAACCTCCCCTGTCACAGAAGTCTTTAATTGCACTGCACACTCGCAACACGAGGCAGTTTTTTCTTGACCTGGCAGTCTACGAGGCAGTTTTACCTTGATCAGGCAGCCGTCCATATTGTCCGGCTATAGACTCTGACCATTTGAACGTGAGAGTACTTAAGACCTGTGTGTGCCTTGCTTTCTTCAGTTGATTTAGTCTTCTAGTTTAATATTACTTGTCGCTAAGTAAGTCTTGAAGCTACAGCAGTGTTGTGTGGCCTGTAGCTGTTCTTTAGACAGTGTAGAAATCTGTGATAGTGTTTTTTCCTGCATTTTGTAAGTTGGGTTTTTGATATTTTATACATTAAATATTTTATCTAGTTCATCTTTGTGTTCTGCCACAACTGTGTTCGCTGATTAAAAGGTCGTATGTAGATTGGATGAGTGTTAATTACAATAGTATCACTAGCTTCCCTAGACATTAAATTCGAGCCCTAGTGGGTCGTTGTGTTAAGTGTTCATCCACTTAGGCCGTAAGGCATTTGCACATGACCCCGAAAAAAGAATCCGGGGACGTTCTCCTTCTATTTGGCTGATAGATAGGTTAACGTTACAATATATATATATATATATATATATATATATATATATAAAGATAGAGAAAGAGAAAGAGAAAATACATATTAATGCCGTTTTCTCTCACCAACACAGGCGTATTTGTCACAAGGTGTCAGGTCACCGTTTGGCTGAAGCGTGACGTTGGCCCTGGTGTCACAAAAGTTCCCGCCCACAGAGTAGATCTGCTCGTTCCTGACAGTCGTGTTGGCTGGCACCAGCCAGTAGCCTGGAGGTTGGAATTGAAATTTGCATCCTCTTATAATTATGACAACTTCTCATTCTTATGAGGAAAAAATAATGAATGTTGCTTTGAGACCATCATACTTAGAATTACTTTTAGTAATAGAAGAGTGTTTTTTAATCTCTTTAAGAGATAGCGTTAGATGTAATGTTAATGCTAATGCTGTAATATGTGTTTGAGTATGCGCGTCTGCTCGTGGTTGTATGTGTATGTAAATATAAGCTTACCCAAAGAGCAAATATTCTGCTCGCTATTGAAACTGAAATGATTGCAGGTGAAGTTGTACAACTTGCATTGAATTGCGCATAATATCGGTGAGTCCATAGAGAATTGTTCTTGAAATTTGAGTATCATAAAGTCTTTTGTGTCGAAGGTTGTGTACTCAAACTCTCTGACCTCCACGGCTACGGAAATGGCTGGTGTGTGAAGTAAACATAGGGTTAGATTTGTGATAAAATTAAAAGATTAGTAGGACACGTTTTTAAAAATGAGTAATTTACTGGTGCTTTCTATTTGACAAATGTCTTTTGGCAGAGCGTAAGCACCTACAATATCTCGCATTAGAACTTAGTAATTTACAGATGGCTCTAAAGATAAAAACTTTTGCACAAAGGTCGTTTGTCCGTTTTATGCACAGAGAAATATAAAATAACAATACTATTTTAAAAAAACAATGTACCGCCTCTAAAATAGTTATACAAACCTACTGTTTTCGAAGAAGAGTCTATTCAGATAATAACTTTTTTATTTAAAAAAAACTGGCGTAAACAAGGACCAGCTATTATATCAATCGTGATTTCATTTTCAACCACCTTTCCCGTTCTTGTCCAAATCAGAGAGACTCAGAGACGTCTTGCTGATCCTAACTCGTGACTTTCATGCTAGCAATCGAAAGCTCTAACAACCGATCAATCCGTCTTTAAATATGTTTAATCGAATACCCTCCCGCCTTCGACACAGTAGTGTACTAGTTTTTATCGCCCAATGAGACAAAATTACTACGGACATGGCTGATAAGGTTTTGTATTTTCTCCTCCCCCCTGTAGAAACAAAACTTTGGTTAAAAGTAAAAGCTCCAGAACAACATGGGCGATATTTTATGTTGAATCTTTGTTAAGGTATAAAATATTGACAAATATTGGATGTCGAGATTTCAGTTATGACGTAGCCGTACATTAAGCACGATAACCTTATAGAATAAAGTGTAAAAAAAAGGCAATGGTTGCCGTAATTTTTTAAAAATATTTTATGTATAATGTTATTTAAACTCGAATAATAAACAACGATAATTCAAATAAAATTGACATTAATAAGATAGGGTAGTTATACTTACTATAAATTAGCCACTGAAGAAATAAGCAAACGACAAAAGCTTTGGTCACCATTTTAACTGGTGTAATCACCGTAGCTCTGGCGCTATGCTAAAGCTACGAGCATAAAAAATATTCAACACGACAAAATAACAACACCGTTATAACGTTGTGTTTAACTCACTCTGCGCAGCAACATTCGACACAATGGGACGCTGGTTTCGTCCTGCAGCCTCAAAAAACGTTGTTGTAATTTATTATTCACTGATTTTAAATAATCCTGATATTGTTATGGAAATTTAATCTCAGAACCGCAACACGTCTGAATACATCAATAGATTTTCGAACTTTCTTTACTGGTTGTTTGCGAAATAGTCTCGTGCGCATGCGTGAAAGCCGAGTAAAGTAGTCTGGGTGAGCTGTATCCAAATATTTTATGACTTTTAATATCACCAAACAACAACATTAACAATAATTCATAGTATTAATTCCTTAAACTACTTCTACTATTGCTACTATTGTAATTTGAAATGCGAAAATCATCAAGAAAAAAGTGTTTAATTTAAATTACAAACATAACATACACATTTTTATGTCGAGGTTTTAACCCAAGCTTTTGGATGAGCAATTTGATTTATTTATTGATTATCAGGATCAGTATTACTCTCAGAATTAAATTCAAGAAATTACTACAATTACCCTAACACCCATTTTTAAAAGATTTCATTTTCATGTTTTAGCAATGGACACTGTATTATACAAATCCCCCTCAAAATAAAAGGCAAATGCAGTTTATTTAGGAACAGATACTTGGAATTAAAATAGCGTTTTCGTTTGTATTAGAAAGATGGTCGGATCTGTGTTGTTTTTTGTAAAGAACAAAGTATATGGTTGAGGCCCTATATACAAGGAGTATAATGGACTAGACAAATACAAGTCATAGCGAAAAGAGCTTATGCTTAAAGTTATAAATTTGCTATTATTTGTTTTACAGTCCTAGATCAAACATTCAGCATCCATTCCATTACACCCCACCCCCGCCCTCAACCTCTCGATGTAAATCAAACCTAGCCCCAACCTTCCAGGCTCACCTTTTTGCGACTAATTGTTTGGGATCAAATTTTCAAAACAAAAAAAAACATGTTGCGGGAACAATTGTTGTTTGATTTTTTTAAAAAGGTGACGTGAAGGGGTGGGTTGCAAAATTATATGTTCAGCAGTATGGTCATACATTGGTGTCGACAAACCACGTCAATGCGATCTTTCAACGAAAAGATCCATGTCATGATAATGCTGTGTTGGTTTCTCGTTTTGGCGAAACTGTATAGAATTATTCCAGCAGTTTTAATATTCTTCCATAAGCCGAAATAGTTCTCTTTATTCTGCTTATCAAATATGTATTGGGTACAACCAATCTAACCATCTTCATCATTATCATTCATGTGGACCCCTTGTCGAGCATAGGGACGCAAACACAACTCTCGCCATCGGACTCTGTTCTGGGAGATTCCTCCAAGCTGGGCCCACGACATTCCGGCTGCTTTTGCTACTCCTACAGCTAACCTTTCCCAAGTTTTGTTTTGGCCCACCTACTTTATTGTTTCTTTGGGGAGTACAATCTAATGCATGTCTGGTGATGTTGCTTGTTGATTTACGCAACCAGTCTAGCCACTAGGTAAAATGAAAACAATATTTATGTAAAACAAACAATGCTCTTTCAAGCTAAGATTTGACATCAAAGACACGTTCTTGAATAAAAATCTGCATGTGTATTCGCAGCGGAAATGTGTTGTTAACTGAGCTGGCACAATGCCAGTAATGTTTTGAAATTTATTTAAACAAATTGTGATCGCGGACTCATTACATGGTGAGATTGATGTTTAGAAAATCTCTTACCCTCATATTACGTTATACATTTTTTGAATGCATCCCTTCCTAAATTACCTACCCCTTAGTTTAAGTTATACATTTGCATAAACCGCAACCCTTCGTAAATTACCAACCTCTTATAACACGTTATACATCTTCTTAAACCAGAACACCTCGCAGGCTAAGTTAAAGCACTAAGAAATACACGGAATTCTATTACAGTTTAAGTTACAGTTATACAGTAGGCAGAGAATTAGATATTTTACTTACAAGTGGAATTTTATTTATCTATCTGAAATAGTGCTCAAGTTATAGACTTTTGAAAAATTGAAAGTAGAAAAAGTTCCACTTCTGGTTATCGAAAATCGCTCAAAAGATTATACGGATCTACGATTTTGATAAAATACTTATACATGAAATTTCATCAACCTAGCTGTAACGGTACTTGGGTTATCGTGTTTACAGACACACACACAGACACATACACGCACACACACACACAGACATACGGACAAGATATTAAAACATTGTTTTTCCGACTCACGGAGCTGTAAAACGTCAAGATTCGCAAAAATCTTCAATTTTTATTTTTTTTGCACGTATATACGAGAAAGTAAAAATCGACAAAAGCTTTGGTCAACATTTTAACTGGTTTAATCACTGTAGCTCTAACGTTATGTTAAAGTGACCAACATAAAACAATATTACATACGACAAAACGAACAAAATAGTAGTAACTGTGTATTTAAACCAGTGGCGTAGCCAGGATCGTCTCAATGGGGGGGGGGGGGGGGGGGGGGGGGGGTCAAATGTTTACCCGGGGACAAACTTTCGATTTGCACCCCCCCCCCCCTCAAACTTTCGATTTGCACCCACCCCCTAACACTTTTGATTTGCACCCCCACTTAAAACTTTCGATTTGCACCCCCCTCATACTTTTTATATATATACCGAGAAGTCTAAGGGGGGTTATGACCCCCCCTAACCCCCCCCCCCCCCCCTGCCTACGCCACTGATTTAAACCACTCTACACAACAGCATTCTAAACATTGGGAAAGATTGTTTCCTTTAGCAGCAACATGAAGAGGTTGTTAGAATTAATTATTTACTAATTCTACACAATTCAGCCATTGTTATGGAAATCTATCCCTGAATCACAACATTTTTGAATACACTGATGTATTTAGGAACTTTCTTCGCTGGCAGTTTTCCTGACGTTGCGGAATAGTCTCGTGCGCCTGCGTGAAAGCCGAATAAAAGAGTATGGATGGGCTGTAAACATAATATGACTTAAAAATAACGGCAAAGAACATTAACAACTTTTCATATTACTATTACTCTACTCCTCCTACTTCTACTACTACTACTATTTTTGCTACTACTAATTATTCTTCTACTACTACTGCTACTATTACTATTACTACTACTACTACTACTACTACTACTACTATTACTATTACTACTATTACTACTACTATTACTACTATTACTTCTATTATTACTGCTACTTCTACTTCTGCTAGAATTCCAAAACAAAGTTTACTTATATTCTCATTTCTCTGTTTTAGCTCTAGCTTTTCAATGACAGGGTTGATTATTAACATTGATTTGATTTTATATTATTAGTGCTAGGAATGTCCGATAATGGACTTTAAAAAAAAAATAGTAGTTTGTTAATAGTATCATAGTTTCATTTCAGGTTTAGTATTAGGGTACGAAGTAACTACAAAAAATTACTAAACGTAACCTTACAGCCTATTTTTACGAAGATTTTTTTTTATTATTATTATTAGACACTTGTTTTACACAAACCCCCTTATAAATAAAGACAGCTGCTGTTGTTTAGAAACAGAACACTTAAAATTTTCTTTGGCCTTTAGTTTGTATCAGGCGGGAGGTCATCTTGGTATTTTATTTTTACAAGGAACACAGAATATGCTTGACACTATGCTCCACACGAAGTGCAGAAGACGACCTCAATTCAAAGTATAGAAAACAGAGCTCAAGATCTTAAAGTTGCTTTTACTTTACTAAATCAAATTTTTTGCTTCAAGTCCACTACTCGTTCCAAATCCCCATCCCAGAAATGGGGCGGGGGGGGGGGGGGAGGGAGTAGTTGTGCATGTCGTACTTCGGTGTAAACAAACCACTTCAAAGCGATCATTCAGCGAGGAGATCCATATCATGTTAATGATATGTTGATTGCCCTTATTGGCAAAACTGAAGACGTTCATTCATGCAGAACCAGTGTTTGTTCCAGACTTTTTTTCTCCGGGGTTCACTTGAAATTTTCGGGGGGGGGGGGGGGCGGACACTGTTAAAATTATATATTTTGTATATAAATTCCATTTCGTTCAAGGAGGGTGGTAGACTTGCTTTGGGAGGGGGAGGGGTCTTAGCCCACCCCCCCCCCCTGAAGAGATGCCTTGAAGAAACTCTGTGCAGAACATTCTTCGATCAGCCGAAATATCTCTCTCTACTCTGTGAAATATGTTTTTGTGTCCGGTATATGAAATAGTTATCGAACATTTGAGAAAATATGTTGTTTTAATATTTTGTTGTTTTTTTATTACTACAAAGTAAATAATATAATATGTCGATATAAGTCTTTTTACTTTAAATAAGGAAAATTGATATGGTGATTAAAACGAGTTCTTTAGAGTTAAGTACAGAGTTTCTTCCAGGCATCTCTCCAAGGGGGACAAAGCCCGCCCGAAAAAAATTTACCGCCCCCCCCCCCCCCCGAACGAAATGAAATTTATAATATTTATATAGAAAATATATACTTTTAACAGTGTCCGCCCCGCCCCCTCTCCCCCCGAAGAAAGTCTACCGCCCCCCCCCCCCCGAAAATTTCAAGTGCCCCCCCCCCCCCCCCCGGAGAAAAAAGTCTGGAAGAAACACTGGTTAAGTAATCGTTTTCATCATTTAACGTTGACATTATTTGTAATTAGTAAATGTGTTATAGTCACAACAAGAGAGTAAGTGCTCAGTGGCGCTACTAGGACTAGTGTCATCCTGTTCGTTAACTGAGGGTGTCACACCACCACTCCCACAACAAAGTATTTTCGTTAGTGTCAGCTGTCTGCGCTAGTATTTTAATATTTCATTCGCAATAAAATAATGTTCAACTATGTTCACGCTTAATACTTCCTTTGTGTTGGAGGATATCTCCTTCAATTCTACAATCAATGTAGCCACTAAGTTTAGATTTATCAAATGTAAAAATATTTCTGCGTAATAAAACAGTATTCATCCAAGGTAAGCCTAACATCAAAGCCATGGAATGAAAAAGCAAGTCTTTTCCTAAAGGAACTGAGTTTTTCAACGGACGCGCACAATGCCAGGGATGGTGTGTAATACATAAAAACCAACTTTGAGATCGTTGACCTATATTGGGTTTTTGTTTTTTACCTAACCTCTACCCTTTATATAACGTAGTAAATTTCTTTAAACCACAACCTCTCGTAGAAGTTGCTTAAACACAAACAGAAACACGGAATCATTAGACTAAATTACCCGTGATTACAATCTCTGGCTAATGTGGCATTCCTTCTGAAAGGATCATAATAAATGAAGCTGAACTCTACAGCATCCTGAGCTCACACTAGATTTTAAAAATTCACTTCAGAGAAGACGGTCTGCGGATCAGAAGAAGCAAAATTATATTTTATTCTTATGACAACAAAATTGGAAGTGATTTGCTAAATTTTATCATTTGTTATTCTAATCTTGTGTCAGGTACCCATTTCATCTGAGAATACTCTGAGACATCCTTCAAAGTTGCTACGTGTAATGAAAATTCTATCTATTTTTCCAAAAAATAATTTTATTGCTTTTTGTCAAAAGAAATATTTGGACCAAATAAAAATAATTAAGCAAAATGGTATCAAATATGTGAACTTAATCAACAACACTTTTCATTTCTAGGTTGATTTTATGACGTTCTTGAATAAAATCTTGCAAATTCTAAATGTTGAGCTTCTTATGGTCTGTTGCATTTGGACGGGTTAAGGCCGTGCGACTCGATTCCATATTCAGTCTGTGGGGTTTTACCGTGGGGGCGATTTTTTTTTAACTTGCTTGGCCATGTTTCATTTATGAAGATGGTTATCAAGCCGTATACATGAAACCAATTGTCGTACTTCAAACATATTGTAAAGCCGATTGTAAGGTTTGGGTGTTTCTGATGTGATGGAAAATACAATTAACAAATACATGAGAAATCCAGCTTTCCATTATACTAAATATAATATGATGACGATTATAAAACTTTTCGAAGAGAACTTGTAAGATTAAGAAAAACAATTTTTAATAAATATGGTTATAAAAATGGTATTTTAAACACATACTTTTTTCTCATTAAAGTTATTATTGTCTTAATAAAAAATGGACAAAGTATCCAAAAGTGCAAGAAACCCATCATGACAAAAAAAAAACATTATGGTGATTTTATATTGAGAGTTTTGGTGTCTAGACTTGTATTTGTTGAATAGTTAGACTTGTTAAGTAGAGTTGTTTGATCTACTTGGATGACCCCACTGTTCACACTAGACTTTAGTTTTCTAGATTAGTGAGTAGAGGTGTGATGTTTTGTAAGACAATTTTTTTTCATTAATACTTTAAATTTATGTTTACGTCAAGATTCATAAAATAAAAACAT